ATATATACATACAGTACAGTATATGTATACTGTACACTCCCAGTGAGGTATATATACATACAGTACGGTATATGTATACTGTACACTCCCAGTGAGGTATATATACATACAGTACAGTATATGTATACTGTACACTCCCAGTGAGGTATATATATACATACAGTACAGTATATATGTATACTGTACACTCCCAGTGAGGTATATATACATACAGTACAGTACAGTATATGTATACTGTACTGTACTCCCAGTGAGGTATATATACATACAGTACAGTATATGTATACTGTACACTCCCAGTGAGGTATATATACATACAGTACAGTATATGTATACTGTACACTGTATATACACCAGTGAGGTATATATATATACAGTACAGTATATGTATACTGTACACTCCCAGTGAGGTATATATACATACAGTACAGTATATGTATACTGTACACTCCCAGTGAGTGAGGTATATATATACATACAGTACAGTATATGTATACTGTACACTCCCAGTGAGGTATATATACATACAGTACAGTATATGTATACTGTACACTCCCCAGTGAGGTGTATATATATACAGTACAGTATATGTATACTGTACACTCCCAGTGAGGTATATATACATACAGTACAGTATATGTATACTGTACACTCCCAGTGAGGTATATATACATACAGTACAGTATATGTATACTGTACACTCCCAGTGAGGTATATATACATACAGTACAGTATATATACTGTACACCCCAGTGAGTGAGGTATATATATACAGTACAGTACAGTGATGTATATGTACACTACAGTGAGGTATATATACATACAGTACAGTATAGTATACTGTACACTCCCAGTGAGGTATATATACATACAGTACAGTATATGTATACTGTACACTCCCAGTGAGGTATATATACATACAGTACAGTATATGTATACTGTACACTCCCAGTGAGGTATATATACATACAGTACAGTATATATGTATACTGTACACCCCAGTGAGGTATATATACATACAGTACAGTATATGTATACTGTACACTCCCAGTGAGGTATATATACATACAGTACAGTATATATATGTATACTGTACACTCCCAGTGAGGGTATATATACATACAGTACAGTATATGTATACTGTACACTCCCAGTGAGGTATATATACACATACAGTACAGTATATGTATACTGTACACTCCCAGTGAGGTATATATACATACAGTACAGTATATATGTATACTGTACACTCCCAGTGAGGTGTATATACATACAGTACAGTATATATACTGTACACTCCCAGTGAGGTATATATACATACAGTACAGTATATGTATACTGTACACCCCAGTGAGGTATATATACATACAGTACAGTATATGTATACTGTACACTCCCAGTGAGGTATATATACATACAGTACAGTATATGTATACTGTACACTCCCAGTGAGGTATATATACATACAGTACAGTATACACTGTACACTCCCAGTGAGGTATATATACATACAGGTACAGTATATGTATACTGTACACTCCCAGTGAGGTATATATACATACAGTACAGTATATGTATGTGTACACTCCCAGTGAGGTATATATATACATACAGTACAGGTATATGTATACTGTACACTCCCAGTGAGGTATATATACATACAGTACAGTATATGTATACTGTACACTCCCAGTGAGGTATATATACATACAGTACAGTATATACTGTATACTGTACACTCCCCAGTGAGGTATATATACATACAGTACAGTATATATATACTGTACACTCCCAGTGAGGTATATATACATACAGTACAGTATATGTATACTGTACACTCCCAGTGAGGTATATATATACAGTACAGTATATGTATACTGTACACTCCCAGTGAGGTATATATACATACAGTACAGTATGAGGTATGTATACTGTACTGTACTCCCAGTGAGGTATATATACATACAGTACAGTATATGTATACTGTACACTCCCAGTGAGGTATATATACATACAGTACAGTATATGTATACTGTACACTCCCAGTGAGGTATATATACATACAGTACAGTATATGTATACTGTACACTCCCAGTGAGGTATATATACATACAGTACAGTATATGTATACTGTACACTCCCAGTGAGGTATTAATACATACAGTACAGTATATGTATACTGTACACTCCAAGTGAGGTATATATACATGCAGTACAGTATATATGTATACTGTACACCCCAGTGAGGTATATATACATACAGTACAGTATATGTATACTGTACGCTCCCAGTGAGGTATATATACATACAGTACAGTATATGTATACTGTACACTCCCAGTGAGGTATATATACATACAGTACAGTATATGTATACTGTACACTCCCAGTGAGGTATATATACATACAGTACAGTATATGTATACCGTACACTCCCAGTGAGGTGTATATACATACAGTACGGTATATGTATACTGTACACTCCCAGTGAGGTATATATACATATAGTATAGTATATGTTTACTGTACACTCCCAGTGAGGTATATATACATACAGTCACAGTATATGTATATGTATACTGTACACTCCCCCAGTGAGGTGTATATACATACAGTACAGTATATGTATACCGTACACTCCCAGTGAGGTGTATATACATACAGTATGGTATATGTATACTGTACACTCCGAGTGAGGTATATATACATACAGTACAGTATATGTATACCGTACACTCCCAGTGAGGTATATATACATAAAGTACAGTATATGTATACCGTACACTCCCTGTGAGGTGTATATACATACAGTACGGTATATGTATACTGTACACTCCGAGTGAGGTAGATATACATACAGTACGGTATATGTATACCGTACACTCCCAGTGAGGTATATATACACACAGTACAGCATAGATATACTGTACACTCCCAGTGAGGTATATATACATACAGTACAGTATATAACACTATATATATAGTGTTATTTTATTTTATATATTTATTTATTGAACAGGAAGCCAGATATGTAAATTAAGTATATACAGGCGCGAGGGAAGTGGGAGGTGTAATTAAATATGTACAAACAGTTCAGTGAGATGGAAGAACAAAATACAATGACAGGGTGTGTTTTTACAATATGGGCAAGGGGTGTGTTTACATAGCGGAGTATTTAAAGTAGATTGAGTTTGAGAGTCTATGATTTCTGGGTGATGTACCAGGCGCTGAGGAGGTTAACCCCTTGATCTCTGCTGGTCTCAGGGGAGGTTAACCCCTTGATCTCTGCTGGTCTCAGGGGAGGTTAACCCCTTGATCTCTGCTGGTCTCAGGGGAGGTAAACCCCTTGATCTCTTCTGGTCTCAGGGGAGGTTAACCCCTTGATCTCTGCTGGTCTCAGGGGAGGTTAACCCCTTGATCTCTGCTGGTCTCAGGGGAGGTTAACCCCTTGATCTCTGATCTCTGCTGGTCTCAGGGGAGGTTAACCCCTTGATCTCTGCTGGTCTCAGGGGAGGTTAACCCCTTGATCTCTGCTGGTCTCAGGGGAGGTTAACCCCTTGATCTCTGCTGGTCTCAGAGGAGGTTAACCCCTTGATCTCTGCTGGTCTCAGGGAGGTTAACCCCTTGATCTCTGCTGGTCTCAGGGGAGGTTAACCCTTGATGTCTGCTGTCTCAGGAGAGGTTAACCCCTTGATCTCTGCTGGTCTCAGGGGAGGTTAACCCCTTGATCTCTGCTGGTCTCAGGGGAGGTTAACCCCTTGATCTCTGCTGGTCTCAGGGGAGGTTAACCCCTTGATCTCTGCTGGTCTCAGGGGAGGTTAACCCCTTGATCTCTGCTGGTCTCAGAGGAGGTTAACCCCTTGATCTCTGCTGGTTTCAGGGGAGGTTAACCCCCTGATCTCTGCTGGTCTCAGGCACTAATCTTCTTATGTTGATTGACTCGAAAAGTTTTCTTTTGCGCCAATTGCTCATGTTAGAAGCCACGATTTCGGTGTGTAGCCAGTTGATAGAGTGATTTGGACTTTTCACAATGTGTTCTGAGAGGACAGATTTGAGATCAGATTGTCAGATGGGACTGGATTGTCTGGTCATATGGCTGAGTAATACTTAGGGTCAGTTTCACCAACAAACTTTACATTTGTTTATATACTACTCAGCTACTACATTTCGGGCTGTAAGCAGGAGAAATATCTGATGAAGGCAGGGTCGATTGCAAGATTCCGACCGTATAAAGAGCATGTGTTTGTGAATCATTGCAAGATTACGACTCATCCAGGAGCATGTGTTTATGAATCATTGCAAGATTACGACTCATCCAGGAACATGTGTTTGTGAATCATTGCAAGATTACGACTCTGCCAGGAACATGAGTTTGTGAATCATTGCTAGATTACGACTATACCAGGGGCATTGTTATTTCGCCGTGGAAATCACCATGTTGGATGTCTTGGCTTTAAAACGAGGTCACATCCGTCATTCAAACCCTGACTACGAGTACCAGCGTGTAGAATGATTCAACGTCTACCGTTACCTGACGGTAACGACGTAGTCTTGGACCATCTGACGGAGCCTCATTCGAGATATTTGTTCCACCATGTCTCGTCAAGACAGACCATTTGGAAACCAAAGTGATGATATTCATCCGTTAGAAAAGGTCATGATGATAATGGAACTTTTTTGTGTCATTCCCTCTTTTGGTGTAACAGAGCCCCATTTCAACCAAAACAACAGCAAGAGTTGCGCCGGAAACAGTGACTTGGTCTTTAATCTCTTCCTGGGTTTTCCTCCATGTACGCGGAAGTTTGTCTTACAGTCGATACACAGCACGCCGTGTGACGTCATTATCAAAACTGTTGTATATGTTTTCTACTGAGTCTGGCTGTCCAGCACACTAAACAGTTTTTTCATTAATATCTTCATTTGAAACCGACCAAAGTACGGATAATAGGGCTGTCGAGGGTTATTCCATGTTAGATCATCGTAACATGGCTATCGGTCCACCAAAATAAAGGTCATGGGCAGCTCTTGTAAATGACCCCTTCTCCAAGGTCTCTGGAATCTGAATCGACAATGAAAAGGTCCGACTGTATTCATGTGTAATTATATGCGCAGTTTCATCTGAATTTGACATTCTGTGAAATGTAGTACTGGTGAGTTCATGTTGTATTTGATACTGGAAAATCTATGTTATAACTTCTGAAGATCGAAATGACCAATCAGTTGGTAAACGAACCTGTGTTTCCTGAGTTACAACAAACCGGAAGTTCTGCACCAAAGCCACTATCGCCATCTTTGCCTCCAACAAGGCCAACCTCATTCCCAGACAGTTCCTTGGCCCGACGCCAAACGGCATCCACATGTAGTCGTGCAACTCGTGCTTGCTCTCGGGGAGGAACCTGGAACAGCCAAACAACCAGTCCATTGGGTTGGCAATTGTCGTGATGCATTTAGAAGACAAACCAACAGTAACAGTAGGTTAAATAGATCTTAATATTATAACTTGGCACCGAGTGCTTCAGACAAAAGGTATTTAACATAGAGTTAGACCACCTCAAATGTACGAAATTGCAATTCTGATACTATTGTAGAATAAATTTTTGTTTTCAGTAAAATTTCTCATTACATCGAGTATTATTTACTCGTTATTTGAAGTTTCTGACAAAAAGCTGAAATTTTGAGTGTTTTTTCTCGTTAATTCGATTTCTTATTGAAGACTTAATTGATATTTCAAGTTTCTTTTAATAGTGTGACTATACATCGGGAACATATCGTAAAAATATATTCAACGCAACAAAAAATAATCAAGGCAACAAGAAAACAGGTGAAATTTCAAGTTGTTTTAAAGAATTTTAAAGTAGAGAGAAAATACTCGAAAATTGAATGAAATATTCCAAGCTACGAAAGAGTGCGCTGAAATAGTAGTCTAATGTATACAAGTTGTTTACTGTATAAAAGTGGCCGCATAAGACTTTCGTACAAACATATACTAGATAAGAGCTGCCTGAACTGCACGTAAATACCCCCAATGTCAAACAACAGTAGGTTTATATCCGCCATGACGTCTACCAGGAGCGCTGGGAAAACGGTGCTCCTCTGGCAACGCGGGTACACATAGGTTACCTGCTGACTGATATTTTCATACGCATGGTTAGAAATGCCATGTCCGTTTTTGACGTATCGAATTGAATTAGATACCGGATTGCAATCTTATTTTGACCAATCAGAATCAAACATTCTTCAAATTACCTTTACGTGTAACATTCATGGGCAGAGTGGTCTCCCTTTACCATGACACTCATTCTGTTCAATTTTCTAACCTGTCAGGGTCGAACTCTTCTGGTTGTGGCCAAAACTCGGGGTCGTGATGGATGGCGTAGACGGGGATGAATACTGGGAGGCCGGCGGGGATGTGGTAGCCGTTTATGGTGGTGTCCTTTGGATCCAACTCGCTTTGTTCTGAATAAAAGAATCAATCAGAAAAATGGAACCTCCTATCGATAAAGGCGCCATTGTCCATAAGAATAGTTAGATGGACCAGGTTTTCTGTAGAATCACATCAGTGATAATGAGTTCCTGGAGGGTATGGTCAATGACAGTCACACTGCTAACCTGACACTTAATAATACTATAGTAGAATAGCCTCCAGGTTAAAGTGTTCGCCTGTCACGCCGGGGGCTCCAGTTCAATGGCCCACATTACTACAATAACTTGTGTTCTGCACTGTTTTGGCCCGAAGGATTTCTACTCACCTGGTTGCCGGGGAATAGAGTCTCAGTGTCTCACCTGGTTGCCGGGGTATACAGTCTCAGTGTCTCACCTGGTTGTCTCACCTGGTTGCCGGGGTATACAGTCTCAGTGTCTATACGACCTCTACTCACCTGGTTGCCGGGGAATACAGTCACAGTGACTCAACGATCTGTACTCACCTGGTTGCCGGGGATTACAGTCTCAGTGTCTCACCTGGTTGTCTGGGAATACAGTCTCAGTGTCTCACCTTGTTGTCTCACCTGGTTGCCGGGGTATACAGTCTCAGTGTCTACACGACCTCTACTCACCTGGTTGCTGGGGAATACAGTCACAGTGTCTCACCTGGTTGTCTGGGAATACAGTCTCAGTGTCTCACCTGGTTGTCTCACCTGGTTGCCGGGGTATACAGTCTCAGTGTCTATACGACCTCTACTCACCTGGTTGCCGGGGAATACAGTCACAGTGACTCAACGATCTGTACTCACCTGGTTGCCGGGGATTACAGTCTCAGTGTCTCACCTGGTTGTCTGGGAATACAGTCTCAGTGTCTCACCTGGTTGTCTCACCTGGTTGCCGGGGTATACAGTCTCAGTGTCTACACGACCTCTACTCACCTGGTTGCCGGGGATTACAGTCTCAGTGTCTCACCTGGTTGTCTGGGAATACAGTCTCAGTGTCTCACCTGGTTGTCTCACCTGGTTGCCGGGGTATACAGTCTCAGTGTCTACACGACCTCTACTCACCTGGTTGCTGGGGAATACAGTCACAGTGACTCAACGATCTGTACTCACCTGGTTGCCGGGGATTACAGTCTCAGTGTCTCACCTGGTTGCCGGGCAATCCAGTCTCAGTGTCTCACCTGGTTGTCTCACCTGGTTGCCGGGGAATACAGTCTCAGTGACTCAACGATCTGTACTCACCTGGTTGCCGGGGGTTACAGTCTCTGTGTCTCATCTGGTTGCCGTGGAATACAGTCTCAGTGTCTCACCTGGCTGCCGGGGTATACAGTCTCAGTGACTCCACGACCTCTACTCACCTGGTTGCCAGGGAATACAGTCTCAGTGTCTCACCTGGTTGTCTCACCTGGCTGCCGGGGTATACACTCACAGTGTCCTGCACGACCTCTTCTCACCTGGTTGCCGGGAATACAGTCTCAGTGTCTCACCTGGTTGTCTCACCTTGTTGCCGGGGAATACAGTCTAAGTCTCTCACCTGGTTGTCTCACCTGGCTGCCGGGGTATACTGTCTCAGTGTCTCCACGACCTCTACTCACCTGGCTGCCGGGGAATACAGTCTCAGTGTCTCACCTGGCTGCCGGGGTATACAGTCTCAGTGACTCCACGACCTCTACTCACCTGGTTGCCGGGGAATACAGTCTCAGTGTCTCACCTGGTTGTCTCACCTGGCTGCCGGGGTATACACTCACAGTGTCCTGCACGACCTCTTCTCACCTGGTTGCCGGGAATACAGTCTCAGTGTCTCACCTGGTTGTCTCACCTTGTTGCCGGGGAATACAGTCTAAGTGTCTCACCTGGTTGTCTCACCTGGCTGCCGGGGTATACTGTCTCAGTGTCTCCACGACCTCTACTCACCTGGCTGCCGGGGACTACAGTCACAGTGACTCAACGATCTGTACTCACCTGGTTGGCGGGGATTACAGTCTCGGTGTCTCATGTGGTTGCCTCACCTGGTTGCCGGGGTATACAGTCTCAGTGTCTCATCTGGTTGCCGGGGTATACAGTCTCAGTGTCTCCACGACCTCTACTCACCTGGTTGCCGGGGAATACAGTCTCAGTGTCTCACCTGGTTGTCTCTCCTGGTTGCCTGGGGATACAGTCTTAGTGTCTCCACGATCTCCACTGACCTGGTTGCCTGGGGATAGTCTCAGTGTCTCCACGATCTCTACTCACCTGGTTGCAGGTGAATAAAGTCTCAGCGCTTCTAGGATTTCTACTCTCCTGGTTGCCGGGATACAGTCTCAGAATCTCTACGACCTCCACTCACCTGGTTGCCGGGGGATACAGTCTCAGAGTCTCACCTGGTTGCCGGGGAATAAAGTCTCAGCGCTTTTAGGATTTCTGTTCACCTGGTTGCCGGAGGATACAGTCTCAGAGTTTCCATGAACACGTTCTCCAGGTACTCTAACTTCGTCACCTCGGCGTATGTAGGCTTCCTCTGTGCAGAAACACACACATGGAATCAGAACTGGCAGTCACCGTCTTTTAGTCCCGGTTGAACACGACCATCAGAAAAAAGAAGGAAAAGTCGATATCGGTTTGTGCCGCTTCTGTTCTTGAAGCGTATGTTCTAGTGCATTATACTGCCAGGAATTTGCGCAGGTGAAACTCTACTTCACTCCAAGATGACAGACCCCCCATATTTGTCAGACCACCCAATCAACGACCAGACCAGTAAAGTGTGATCAGTATAACTGCCTGGTCTTAACTACTAATTAATGAGCTACTCCCAGCTGTGGGCAGAATAAAGTACTCGAAATGGTTGAAAACCCGTATTATGATAACTTTTATCAGTTGTTTTTGATCTGTGTCTGGCTGCGTGTGTTTTATTGGCGAAGGAAGACTCCAGCGCTGGATACAAGGAGCATCTATACACCCCCTTCTTCCTCTTGCTGACTGAGTGGGGCGGTGAGGTGGCCCACTGGTCCTAGGTTCACAATGATTATCATCACTGGTATATCACCACCATTCCTACTGAAACGTGATACTGTTCAAATAAGCTTTCGAATGATAGTCTTAAACATTCCTTACAGGTCGGTTCAATCCCGTGCACTTGAACATAGTGACCTATATATGGAGACTTCTTTAAGTTGTGTACCTGTCAGGCTGTTGGTTACTTACCTGTATAGAGCGATGGTAAACCCCACGCCACCAAACAGCCAGAGTGAAAGTGCAGACAACTCCACCAACAGAACGTCCATGTTCTCATGTGCCAACTTACTGGAATTTCAACTGCTGTCGAATCTCCACACCGTTTCAGTGCTGGACCCCTCGCTGCCTGACACACTATAAATAGATACACACCCGCGTGCTGACACAAATATCGTCCAATGAAAAGCAGCGTACTACAGGCTACATGAGAGCATATTGCACAGCCAGCATTTCACTGAGATCTGTTGACAAGACTTCAGCGGTTCGTATTGACACAGAGTGTGACTAAGACGAGCCAGGCGAGCCCATTTAACTACTTGCATATCTGGCCTAGGTGGAAACGCATCGGATGTGACCAGCTCAATCATTCTCAATGATTCATATCTAAACAAAACATGATGCATATACCATAGAGGGATGTCATTGTCACCCTCGACTGACGCTTTGTCCCTGAATAAATACACATCATTTTGATAGTAAGAAATAAACCCAGATAAATTGAAAAGGAGTCCCAGTCAGATGGGACCCGGGGGTATATGTAGGCTTACTTTATTTTGGGCTTCAGCATTGCAGGGAGGGCTTGGTAGAGACTGTGCTATAGACTGTTGTGACACCACCCCCAAAACCCCCCACCCACCCCGCAAAATGTATTTGGGTATCATAAGAAACCCCATAGAATGAACAATCCGAAAAAAAACATAATTACAGTATGTTAAACGTCAGGAAACATGCTAGTTAGGGCGTTTCCATGGTTACCATGGATTTTTTATTGTCATATGGAAATTAACTATATCATAATTAACTATATCATGTTATCATCGACCACAGAGTGCTTTTTCATACATTGGAAAAGAGACTTGGTATCACCGACAAACCTATATCTTGGATTGAGTCCTATATCTCTGGACGGCACCAATCCGTTCACATTGATGGTACAACATCAAAGAAAGAAGAACTGCTATTCGGAGTTCCACAGGGATGGTCCGATCCTGTTCACAATGTACACTTCACCTCTTGGGGATGTCATTCGAAAATATAATCTGCAATTCCATCTGTATGCAGATGACACCCAATTGTACATATCTTTTAGACCACAAAGTAAACCATCAGTGGAATTCTCCTTTGTTGTCATATCTAAATGTGTTTCTGATATCCGTGAATGGATGGCTTTCAACTTTTTTAAGCTTAATGATGGACTCATCTGGATATTGGCGCTATATAAATCTCTATATATTATTATTATTATATTTTACAGATTTAAGATAGTATGAAGCAGAGAGGGTTCGGGTGATCCTGGCACAGTCAGGCTGGTAAGGCTCATCATCAGCTCTTGGCCCTTGACCCCCTCTACACGCAGCCCAGACAGCGCATGGGACTTCTCCCAGGAAACACTGCCTAGTCGAACCCACCAAGAACTTTCCGGAGAATATGAAGGCTCCCCAACACTGCAGCCTTCTGCATTACCCAGAGTGTCAGAAGGGCCGTGCTCCCGGTGGAGAACCCGGGCACTCTCCTGATCCGCGCCAAGAGATCAGGAGGTACCAAACCAAGGGCACTGAGAACAATGGGGAGCCTGACGACAGTGTACTTTGGGTGCAAGCGAGACATTTCAAAGGCGAGGTCTGCATATTTATCATGCTTTTCCTGAATTTTGCCAATCACATTGGTGTCAAAAGGGACAGAAAATTCTATGATATAAATAAATTCATTGGCTTTATCAAAAAGGACAAGATCAGGTTTGTTGGCTGGAATTCTTCTGAGGCTGTATATGGGCCTATTCCACAGAAGTTTGAAAGCATCATTTTCCATGACGCCCTGGACATGTTCAGGGTCGTACCAAGGATGGACCTCGGGAGTCAAAGCCACAGGCGTGTCGGAGACGGTAGTAAAAGCAACGATCCATGCCATCATGTCGTTTAAGATATGATGTTTGTGCCAAGGAAGGGCATCCACTGACAAGGCGTTGGACAGTCTCTGTGAATTCATTGCAAAGTCGACATTTCATATTGATATTTTCTTTAAGAATCACATTTAGGCGATTGCTAGTGGGAAGTGACTGGTCCTGAGCAGCAAAAAGGAAACCCTCAGTTTCACATTTAAGACCAGCCGACTTCATCCAGGCGAAGGAGTCGGTGGGATTGCTATTCTGTTCAACACACTGCATGTACACACGATGCAATGGCTTCTCAGAAAGCTTCTCCACAAAAGACCGACTCTGGGCAGACTTGGTGAAGGACTTCACCTGGTTTACTCCCATCACTGTACCGTCCAGCAGTACATCGCCATCAACAAAATCAACCTCAAAACTCAGATTCTGTCCAACAACCTTGGCACGCTTAAACTAGCTGTGGAATTCCTTGCTTTCATCATGAGTCTTCACATGCATCACTAGAGGATCATCCGATAAATAAATATGTGCAAAAGTACACAATAACATTCTGTCATGAAGAGCCTCCACATTAATCTAACCCCGACCTCCAGAATTGATTGGCCTGTATAAACGGTTAAGAGAGGAACAAGGGTGGTGGGCTGTTATCAGACATGATCCTTCTGGTCAGATGGTCAAGACTCTGGAATAAGAAAGGACTGGCACAGCAAAAGTAATGGTGGCTTTGACCTTGTTTCGAGCATTTAGCTTTGAGCTCCAGATTTTCGTTAAACGAGATTTGTACTCGGCCCGAAGTTTGTCTTGAATCTGGGCATTCTGGAGCTTATCTCGAACATGCATTCCAAGATTGGTGTAGGCCTGATCTTCCACAAGATGATCAATAACTCCTCCCCCTTGTAACTTGACCGATCCGCCATTAGTTACCTTGCCACGTTTCAAATGAAGAGTATTACATTTGTCGAGTCCAAATGTCATGCCAATATCATTAGAAAAGGACTCGACAAGGAGAACCTGCTCTTTCAAATTGGAATCTCCTTTGGCAAGGAGCTCGATGTCATCCATGTAAAGGAGATGAGTAAGAGGTGTTAGGGATCTGTGCTGAGGAGGTCCGGGATGGTAACCCTCCTCTTTATTGAGCAGAAAGCTCAAAGGATTTAAAGACAGACAAAAAAGCAAAGGACTAAAGGAATCCCCCTGAAATATTCCCCTTCTGATTGGAATAGATTCCGAAGTCTGCACCTGCCCTTGCGAGTACATCTCAAGTTGAGTCGACCAGCAACTCATTAAAGACTTGAGTAAATCAAGTAGTCGCTCAGGGAGGTCAATACAATGAAGAGACTTCAGAATCCATTCGTGAGGGACAGAGTCGTATGCTTTTTTGTAGTCAATCCAGCACATCCAGAGGTTGCGGTGATATGTTTTAGCCTCTTCCAAAATCATTTTCTGTACAAGAAGTTGATCCTTGCACCCCCAACATCCCTTTCTTGCTCCCTTCTGCTCTCTGTAAATTATATCATTGGAAGAGCAGTAAGATGACACGAGGTTTGTCAAACACCCTGTGAATATTTTGTATTGTGTATTCAAACATGTGATAGGACGGAAGTTTTTGGGATCAGTCAAGTCTCCTTTCTTGGGGAGAAGTATTGTGCGACCTTTGCAGAACCATGGTGGAACATCATCTGTGTCCACAAGAGAATTGAAACAGTGTAGTAATGGTGTTTGGACACAGGGGAACAGTTTCCAATACCGGTTTCAAATGCCATCAGGCCCTGGAGCTGTATTAGATTTGGACTTTTTTATAACACTTTTCAGGCAATCTGATGAGATGTAGCATACGAACGACCTAGTTACTTTCTCATGCATTGCATGGTCATAATCACGGACCCATGGTGCCTCAAGGTTACAGTTGCCGGGTACAGACCACAACTGTTTCCAGAACCTTTCATTGGCATCCATGGGAGGCCGTTTGTCATGTTCACCATCACCCTTTGTTTTCAGTTGCCTGTAGAAGATCTTTTCATTGTTTCTAAAAAGTTTATTTTGTTTGATGAATTTATTCTTCTTTTCCCATTTTTTCTTTCTTTCAGTCCAAACTTTTATTTTTGCCTTAAGGGAATCGACAATTTGAAGAAGTACCTTTCTTTTGTTGTCTTGTACTGCAATTTTAATTTTCTCCAAATTGTCTTTTGCCATTTTGACATTGGACGACCTCAGTTTCAGGCACAGCTCTATCCAGGAAATGTATTTTCTCGTTTCCGTTAGTTTTACTTGAAACCGGTTTTTCTTTGGTGTATTGTTCTTAGTATTAGTTGTTTTTTCTTTGGAAACTGTGTGAATTTCCTCCAAGGTTCGAGCAGAAGCATAGACACAACAATTAACTTCATGTAATGAACAGTCCGATGAAAGTTTCATAGAAATAATATCATTTAATAAATTAATTTCATGTTTGGGAAAAGATACATTTGTTTGTTGAATTGGCCTCCGTTTTTCTAAAGGTATGTCAAATATTTCATCATAAATAGAATGAAACAAAATATACACAGGGTTTTCGGAAAGATCTGCAACTGAAGAAGAGGAAGATTGAGCATCCGGAATTTCGGGGCCAATTGGCTCTATGCCGGAAGAGTTTCCATCAGCAAGAGGAAAGAGGTTGACACGGACGTCCATTAGAAGTTTTGGGTCTGCTGCCACTTGAGCATTCTGTTCATGCAAAGGTTCCTGACGGGCACCAGTTGTGGGTTGAACTGGCTCACGGGGCAAGAGATTTTTAAGCCGCTGGAATTGGTCGCGGAGATTTTGCTCAGTCAGGTAAGCATACATGGGCATGGCATTGTCCCAATGCAGCTTAAGCGACTTTCCATTGATACGTGGATTTTCAGGCCATCCTGTCGCTCTTGCACACTCAAGTAGTGTGGTTTTAAGGTGGTTTGACCAAGATATTCTTGGTCGGGTTCTGTGCCTTCCCCTGGGGCAAGTCCCATCTCCAGTATGGTTGGTGTCACTACCGGAGGAAGGCTGACTGGGCTGCGGAAGTGAATTTAAACTTTCCTTTTGGCTGTCTGTAACCCAGTGAAAAACCAGCTTCGGGGGGTCAGCCCTAACTGGGTGAAGCAAGTTTGGTTCAGGGAATATAATTCCCCTATCTAGGCTCACCACGGAGAGGCGTATATCATCAGGCCCTTATTATTATTATTATTCTCTTCAAGAATATTTACAAGTGTTTATGTCATTATGCAACCTGATACCCAATACATGTGGAAAAACACCTTCAAGGTTAAAGGTCAAGGCCGTATTCATCAGTTGTTTAGTGAATTTTTACTAATACCGGCAGTTCATAAAATTTCTGATCCGA